TCTTTCCGACCGTTCGACAAACCTGGCCCGTTGTAATCTAAAAAAACACCCTTTTTTAAAAAAAAAGCTCCCATATGTCCCCCCCCTTTCCGGAAACAACTTTCTTGGAAATCCAACCTTTTTACCCGCCCCCACTTTAGTTTATTTTTTTTTGGATTCCCCCCCCCCCCCCTCCTTCCCCTTGAACAAGATTTGACCCTTTTGCTTGGCGTCAGGTTTGTCCGTGTAGGAGAGTAATAATAAGCTCACTCCGTAACTTTCAATCGATTCACCTCAGATCGCTGGCTACCTGTACGGGGTCAGTCCGCCTGACAATCCGCAAGTGAAAGAAATCCGCTGCATTGTAATGGTGCCACAATGGGGCACTCACCAGACTGTGCATTTACCAAACATGTTACCACAACACGACTACCTCAAGGTAAGACTAACAGATTTTATTTACCTAAAGACTTAAGAGCACTCGTTCAAAAGCCTCTGTGTGACCAGGCTATGTATGTGTCCAAATATTGAGTGTGGTGTTTGTGTTTGCCTGTTTGTAGGAAATGGAACCGTTAGGTTGGGTTCACACTCAGCCCAACGAACTACCTCAGCTTTCCCCGCAAGACGTTACAACACACGCCAAGATCATGGCCGACAATCCATCATGGGATGGCGAGAAAACTGTCATTATTACTTGCAGGTATGTCACGTTAGTCAGGCTTCGTTCTAAAGAACATAAGATTTGCTCCACCTGGGAAGCGAAGCTAATATTGTTTTGTCAATAATATTTTTCTGGAAGCTTACGTATGTACTGCCATTGAAACATAATCGGCTCTGCTCAAAACTGCTTATCAATATCTCTTGGGTTACATTCAGATCTTTTCACTACTGACATCAAACAGATAGACACTTGTGTCCGTATCACTTCCGTGGCGGCTGCCGCCTTCTTGGAAAAATGATACGCTGTAAAGTTGAGCATGTGCCGAGATTTGCTGGTTATGTTGCCCTTGTTTTATTTATTTAGTTTTTTTTCCTTGTTGTTTTCAGTTTTACTCCTGGCTCATGTTCACTGACAGCCTACAAACTGACCCCTTCGGGTTACGATTGGGGACGAAATAACAAGGACACAGGGAACAATCCCAGGGGTTATCTCCCCTCCCACTACGAGAAAGTGCAAATGTTACTGTCTGATCGTTTCCTTGGTTTCTTCATGGTACCCGCCCAAGGATCCTGGAACTTCAACTTTATGGGTAAGTACTGTTGAATTTCGTGTTATCGATTGATTTTTCTCCTCATTGTTTAACCAGAAGTGCTTACCGTTTACACCACCCACCCTCGCATAAACATAAAACTGTAGTATTAGACTTGGCGGGAGAACGACCCGCTACGAAGTAAATCCAAACCAGCTGAATAGGCTGAAAAGTAGAAACATTGCATCCTTTCAAATGAGAGCCCATTATTTTCTGAAGGTTCTTAAACAGAATGGCGGGAACCATTTGATTTTCAAACCGGAATTTCCGGTTTTTCCATGCAAATGGCAA